AAGTTTTATTAGTTAAAAAGTTCATTATGTCAGATGCTGCCGCACTTATTTTTTTTTTTCAGTTTAACCATCTCTAACTTCAATACCTTCCCTCATTTCAGTTTTATTTCTTTTTATATTAGTGATTCTCTTTTTCTTCTGCCTAAAACCACTTAAGAGATTTTTTTCACAGTAACAATGACTCAGGGCTGAACTAATTCTTTTTTTGGGTTGGGGAGTTGGAATCTCACTCCATTGCCCAGGCTAGAGTGCAGTGGCACACTCATGGCCACCCCAGCATCGACCTGCTGGGCTCAGGCAATCCCTTCTGCCTAACCCTCCCAAAGTGCTGGGATTACAGGCTTGAGCCACTGCTCCTGGCTCATGATGATACTGAAAAATGAAAAAATGAAAATATTCTAATGGACTTTGAGTCTATAATACTTTGTGATCTATCACAGGAACAAAGAACTGAGTACCATATGTTCACACTTATAAGCAAACCTTGAACAATTATCATAATACTACAAGAAAGGGATTGGCAGTTGTGAGAAACTGCTGCCGGGGGGAGGGGGTGGGCACACCTCATCAACAAGTGTACCTGCATAATGAATATTTGGATACCTAACCCTGAATTATACCCTACATCTTTAAAATTAAAAATCAGAAAAAAAATTTTTTAACAGGCTTCTCTTTAAACTCTGGTTGAAATATAATTTTTTTTAACAGGTAGACTTTCAGATATATCAATATGAGCTCTCACTGTTCTAAAGAAATATACGAGTATATCCCAAACTTAAATGACAAAATTTTATACCTTCCACCTTATTCTATCTACCATCACTCCAGCCAGTTGGGAGGATCCTTTCAGGACATAATGAGATCTTACATATGAAAAATCTTTGAAATAAAACTTAAGATCTTATACAATGTAAGATGTTTATTTATTCAGCAGCATTATTTAAAAAGTGAAAGCACATAAGAGGTCAATTGACTAAAACTGAAGAACGTTCACAGCTAATCTTATAAGGCAGATCCCATGTCCACTGTCACTTTTGAAACTCTTCACTACTCAGAGAAAATGCTTTATACAAATGACTGATACACTGAAAAAAATTCAAATACTTCCCCACCGTCCATGAACATCTTAGAGTGTTCTTTCTGTTCAGTGATCTAAAGTGTACATGGGGCCAAGGAGATTTTTATATCATAGGTTATATTTATCCACTATCAACAAAATAGGAAAATGGGCTGAACCTAGTCTTTTCCTTTCCTCCCTATAATTTCCTCTGTTTCTATTTTTGTAGCAATCAAGTTTCAACTAGTTAATCAAATACCCTTTGTGTGGCAGGTGCCAGGGTGTTTGTTTTCATTAGTGTACCAAATGCCATATTTAGGAACTTGGCCTTTTGGTTAACTGGCTACAAGCATGACTTTAAACCATTAAATGTGTGTATTTAAACTCAGCATTTATTTTTACATCTCCTTATCCAAATAATCAGGATGTGGTTATCTGTAAGATGATACATTATGATTTTTCCTATATACACCCAAGCACAAAAATATATGCTTCAAACATAATCATCAATATTATAAACACCCATCATCTTGTGCCATTTATAAGATTGCAGAGATGAAGAGAAACCTGGTCAGCAAAATGTACATTAAAATAGTTAAAGGAAACCCACATGGAAAAGCTTATAAAATAGGCAATTTCACACTCTGTAGCCTATTTTTAACTTGATAAAAACTGAGAAAGGAAAACATCACAATTGTAGTTTATCTTTGAGTCAATGAAAAAGCTATTATTTTTTAAAAGAAAGCTATATCAGAAATCTTTTTAAAAATACACTTATGCTCTTAATATATCTTCCCTTATATGGAGGAAAGTAAGAGACATCAGCAAAATGAGGAGGGAGAAAATGCAATTAAATGGCTGGGTTTTTTTAAAGGAATAGATAATGCTCTTTTTGGCTGGTATTTTTACCAGACAACTGTTTCATTCTTGTTGTCTAATTTCTCAATTTAAAGACATAGTTATTATTTACTATTTTTTAATGCTTAGCAAAGAATTCAGCTCAACTATCAATTTAGAAAAAAGAGAACACAAAAAAGAATTTATTGCTCTATTCCAGAGAAGGATGAAATATAGAGAAGCTGCTAGTGACTAGCATTATATGACATAATTCTAAAACAGACTAACTGGTATCATAATGAAGAACTAATTTAGATTACATTATGTAAAAATTAAACTGTATTTGATAAATAAATGTTATAAACAATTCTAAAATATTTTATCTCCATTTTGTCTTAATTGCCATGTTAATACTAATACTACTTTGTCTATATAAAACATTGTTTTGTTCATATTATAGCACATAACATTTATTACACTAATCTACACTGAGATTTCATAGTAACAATCTTTTAAAGAAAATATAAGGAAAATCTTGGGTGGCATCAAAACAAATGCTGTTATGAAAGAAATATTCAGTATATTCTCATAAGTATTCTTTCACTTACAAATTATAAATCCCAAACGAGATAAAAGAGTTATGCATGAATCAATCCAATCTTCCCAAATTCTTTTGAGGTGGGAGTTATTTCTTATTTCACAAATAAGTAAAGTGAAGTTCAAGTAGGATAAATGGTACTTTTTTTTATTATGACAATTTTATTTGTAATAACCAAATACTGAAAGCAGTCCAGATGTCCATAACAGGTGAGGGACTAAGCAAATCATGGTACATTTTAAGATGATAATAATACTAATGCAAAAATGAGACTCAAACCCAATCCTTCAGATGCCATTCTAGCATCCATTTTCTCCTTGCCCCAGCAGATTTTCCAAATGATTAAGTTTTGAGGGGGATTTGTTTTTAATATAATTTACTGAAACTTCTCATTCACAAAAGATGATCCTGGAGGACTTTCCCAATGCTGTGCACTAAGCAGAAAGCTTGGTTGCAAGTCCACTCTGTTCTAGCCTTCACTCCTTGATCTTTCATCAGGAGGGTAATGTGTCTCCCTTTACTGTGTAGTGTTGTGGATTCCAGTGGTAAAACTGGCAGTCAGCAAGCCTGATACAGAACACAAATGAGTTTTAATTGTCTAGATAGTGGATTTTTTATATTAAAAAATTGTAAATGTATAAATGACTCATATGTGTGCTTACTGTCCAGAAGTAACAGTATAACATTTTTACATATTTGCTTTAAAAAATTATAGATTAAAAATATGTTTCTTCCATAATCTTGTTCACTTTCTACCCACAGGCAATCAAATCAAATAGGAAAATAACACAAAAATCAAAAAATAAGTATTGCATCAAATTCCATTAGCTTATACTTTAATTGAATGTATATATTCCAAAATATATGAAATTACTTTATATATTTATAAGTTAATTAAATGGTATTATGTCATGAATTGTTTTAAACTTCCCATTTCCCCCCAAACTGCTTTTTAAATCTATGCATATAGATAAATATACATATTTGTTTTAACAATAAATATACATATATTTGTCTTTTGCTTTAAGTTTGAATATATCATAATTAATAAATTCATTTTCACTTGAATGGGATACTTGAGTTGATTTCAATTTTTACTACTATAAACAATGAGGCTATGAACTTTCAGATATACATCTTTTTATAAATGCTGAGTGTTTCTCAGGGATATAAACATAACTAGAAGTGAAATAAATGTGTCATAGTGAGGATATGTCTATTTTCAATTTTTTTATATATTGCCCAATTTTCTCCAAATGATTGGATTCATTTCTAACCTCATCAACTTTAAAAATTTTTTTTGTCTGTTTGCTAATACCATTCTAACATTTGTGATGTTGACTTCAAATTTCTGTAAATCTGATGTGTGTAAAATGGTATATCATTTCTGTTTTTATTTGCATCAAATAACTTACATGTATTGTGAAATATGTGTTTTCCATTATCTCTTTTTTTATAAAATGTCTATTGATACCTCTGGCACATTTTTATTTAATTGTGTGTCTGCTTTTAAAACTATATTCACTCAACTTATTTATACGTTCCAAATGCTAATCTTTCTTTTTCATATATGTTGAAAATATCTTTCATTTAGTAATTTGTCTTTTGATTTTGTTTATTATATCTTTTTTTTTTTTTTTTTTTTTTTGAGTTGAAGTCTCACTCCATCGTCCAGACTGGAGTGCAGTGGCCGCTCCCGGCCACCGCAGCCTCGACCTGCTGGGCTCCGGCGATCCTTCCGCCTCAGCCGTCCGAGTAGCTGGAACTACAGGCGCGCGCTACCACGCCCGGCTAGTTTTTTGATTTATTGTAGAGATGAGGTCTCGCCAAGTTGCCCAGGTGGGTCTCGAACCCGCGGGCTCAGGCAATTCACTCACCTCAGCCTCCCAAAGTGCTGGGATTACAGGCTGAGCCACCGAGCCCGGCTTTTATTATATCTTATCCAGAATTTTTCTTTTTTATGTAGTGAAATCTTATGATTTTTGAAAAAGATACCCACCTTTTGAATCTACCTTAAGAAATCCTGACATAACATAGGGACATAAAGAAAGTCTCCTAACTGATAGTTGGTGTTTTGAAAGTTTGAATGTAAATGCTTTGAGAGACACCACATTCTCTCTGGTTCCCCACAGACCCCACCAGGCCTTATGCTCTTATACCTTGCTACTTTTACACATTTCCCCTCAGATCATAAGGTTGCAATCTTGGGATTAGACAGTCAAAAACTAAAGTTACATTAACTGGATTTCTCAAACCATGGGTTAGTTTGAATTAAATTACTATGCTAGCTGTGCAACCATAATCTAGGTTTCCACGGAAACAAAGCCTTGATAGAATTTATTCTGGGAGATTGATAGCTTATATTAAGCATTACTTAAAGTTTGTAGCGCTGCACTCAAGAACACTGAAGCTGAATCATTTGCCTCTAACAATCCTTTTAGGAGCTTTTGTTTTCTATCTTTATATTCCAAACGAATCAATGCTAACTTTGATGTATGTGACCCTTAGATGCTGGACTGGAGATTGGCAAGTGCACATTTCATCTTGGCTGTGACGTTGATGCTATGGAGCTCAGGAAAAGTGCTTTCAGTGGATGTAGCAACAGAGGTGATGGAAACTAGCTTACAGGACCACATATCTATTCTTTTATGAACACAAGTCATTTCTACTAGAGTCAGAAACAGGTGCAGATGACAAATGGGAAAATGTACACAAAATCAAATCAAATAGGAAAATAACACAAACATCAAAAAATAAGTATTTTTTTTCTACTGTCTTTTTTGTGTTGCCAACATGATATTCAACGATGTAACGATGCCAGAATCAGCTCACACTTGTAATCCCAGTACTTTGGGAGGCCAAGGAGGGAGGATTGCTTTAGCTTAGGAGTTCAAAACTAGCCTTGGCAGCATAGCGAGACCATATCACTACAAAAAATAAAAAATAAAAAAATTAGAAGCCAGGCTCAGTGGCTCAGCCTGTAATCCCGCGCCTTTGGGAGGCTGAGGTGAGTGGATTGCCTGAGCCCGCGGGACCCGCCTGAGCAGCGAGAGCTCATCTCTACAATAAATCAAAAAAGCCAGCCGGGCGTGGTAGCGCATGCCTGTAATTCCGGCAGCTCGGAAGGCTAAGGCGGAAGATCGCCGGAGCCCACCAGGCAAGGCTGCAGTGGCCGGGAGTGGCCTCTGCACGCCAGTCTGGGCGACCGAGTCAGACTCCAACTCAAATTAGCCAGGTGTGGTGGCGCTTGCCTGTAGTCCCAGCTACTCAGAAGACCGAGGAGGAAGGATCTTTGAGCCCAGGTGTTGAAGGCTGCCGTAAGCTGTGATCATGCCACTGCACTCCAGTCTGGACAACAGACTGAAACCCCAACTCAAAAAAAAAAAAATAAAAGAGAGAGAGAGAGAGAGAGAGAGAGAGAGAGAGAGAGCAGTGATTATTCTCTTCTTCTCACAGTGGAATCAGAACAAGCCGGTAGTTATCTAAATGTAAAATAAACTTGAAGTAGTAACAAAGATTTGTATTCCTTGAACAGAAAAGCGTTCAAATTATCATTTCAGCTGTATTTTTAATTAAGTCAATTACATCAAGACAAAATACTTTTATGTAGAATTTGAAGTTGTTTATATACAAAATTTGATTAGTTTTGTCCAAACTTTTAATTATAGTACAATTTTTTTTTTTGGTGCTAGCACTGCAGTACAAAGGAAAAGAAACATAAGGACATCAAAAATTAATGTGGCTTATTTGATCTTATTAGAAACATATTCTTTGTGCATCTTAAATAACAAAGTGAGATCCTGAAATGTATTTTTTAAAAGGATGAGTTTTATATGTATTCCATAATCTATAAAAAAAGATTAAGGATGTTTCTAAAAAGAAACAAAATTCAATTTTGTATGTGTGTGTCAGTTGGAAGAATCAAAGCCTGTGTTTTGGAAGATACTTTGAAAGAAAAAATATCTGCCCTTTAAAGTTTTGTCTCCTGCTCATTAGGGTTTTTCTCTCATGATTATAGCACCTTTTCCTTCTCCAGTTTCTGTTGTCAGACTTATATAGGGAAATGACAAGTTGAGATTTTAGGAATAGTTTGAAACCATATTGTGGGCTTTGCACTATAAGTAACAAAGAATTGTTTTTTTCAGGTTTTTAAAAGTTTTAAAATGATAAAAGTGGTTCTAGAGATAACTAACTTCAAGGAAGCATTCAAGATGAAATAGAGAAGAGGAAGAAAGGAGGTATAGGGCAAGTCATAAGATGATTGCAGGAGTGCACTAAGCAGTGAAGAGGACTTAAGTCACTAGTGATGGGAATCAAAAGGAGCAAGCAAGAGAGGTTGTCCAAAAGAACTGACCAGACAGTGCAAATCTGATTGGATAAGGAAATAAGGGGCTCAATAGCTTTGAGATTGTCAGGCTGTCTATTTCCAAAGAGAGTTGCTTGAGTCCATGATGAAAGGACTTGAAAAACACTATTCTTTCATTTTATTGAAGAAAATGAAGAGCACAGAAAGACTATGGAATCCAAGAAGAAAAGCAGGAAGTGAAGAAAAATTGAAACCAAAACCCGCAGTCTGGCACACGAAAGTGATTAAAATAGAGCGAGGAAGAGACTTTCTGGAACTAAAAATGTTTCCCATAGAAGAATATTCTCAGGTTTTTAGAAAAGAAGCAGTATTCGTGGGACTACAGAATGGCTCTAGGAGTATTTTGAAAATGCTGTTTATAGGGTTTAGAAAAGCAAAAGAGACTTACTTCACAAACTGAATACCTATACTTTTTATGATTTGGATGAAGTACAAAGTGGTAGTAGATATAACAAATAAACAGGAAATTTTACATAGGACAAGAAAGTTATTGGGATAGCTCGGGCCTGTTGTGTGTGCTCATTCATATTTGTTAATAAATCAAATGGGTGATGATCATAATATCCCTGAAAATAGAGAATGGATTTTGTTTATATTTGTATTCTGAAGTCTAATGCAGAACATATTACATAGTGGATTATCAGGGATGTGAATCCATGAAAAATGAATGAGGGGTGAAAAGAAAATAGTGTGAGGCCAGGCGCAGCCACTCATGCTAGCAATCCCAGCACTTTGGGGGGCCAAGATGGGAGGACCGCTTGAGACCAGGAGTTCAAGAACAGCCAGGGCAACATAGTGAGATCTTGTCTCTACAAAAAAAAGAAAAAGAAAAACTGGCTGGACATGGTCGTGCACATTTGTAGTCGTAGATACTCAGGAGAGTGAGGCAGGAGGATCCCTTGAGCCCAAGAGTTTGTGGTTGCAATGAGCTATGATCACACCATTGCACTACTGCCTTGGTGATAGAACAAGACCCTGTCTCACACACACACACACACACACACACACACACACACACAGACACAGGGGAAAAGAAAAGTAGGGAAAATAGCATGAGGTTTTGCTTTCTTCAGAATTCATTCAATAAAAAATATTTCTCAGAAAAGTACTGAATACTAACTATAGCAAAATACTGGGCTAGGCATTGAATAGAACAAATAGAAAACTATTAAAGTCATTGGCCTCAAATTTTAATCTAATAAAGAATACAAATATATTGTAACCAATTTAATACAAGGTAAAATGTAATGAGTGCACTGATGATAGGAGTATAGATAAAGCACTATGGGAATGAAAAGGATAAAGTTGTTACTGAAAAAGAATCTGAAAAAGGGGTCCATTAATACATTAAATGTTAGAGGCAGCCTAGGAGGGACTTTATTTTTCATTTTGTTTTGTTTCATTTTCTCTTGAATATACCCCACTTCTGTGTGTTTCAGTCCTCTAAGTTCTAGCTTTCTCTCTAGAACATAATTCCAGGAGAACTTTAAAACATTACCTAGCCAGGCACGGTGGCTCACCCCTATAATCACAGGAATGTGGGAGGCTGAGGTGAGAGGATTGCCTGAGCCATGGGTTTGAGGTCAACCTAGGCAACTTGGCAAGACCTCATCTCTACAACAAAATAAAAAATTAGCCAGGCATGGTGACACGTGCCTGTAGTTCCAGCTACTCTGAAGACCTGAGCCCAGCAGGTCGAGGCAGTGGTGGCCACGAGCGTGTCCCACCCTCCAGCCTGGGTGATGTAGTGAGACTCCAACTAAAATAAAAAGAAAAAAAATAAAATAAATGTTACCTGATGAGCATGTCAGCTAAAGGTAGTAAAAGCTAAATGCAAAGCCGGGCTCTGTGGCTCAGCCTGTAATCCCGCACCTTTGGGAGGCTGAGGTGAGTGGATTGCCTGAGACCGCGGGTTCAAGACCCGCCTGGGCAGCGAGACTTCATCTCTACAATAAATCAAAAAAT